TCATGAATAGATATGGGGATTTTTTGCATATGGTTATGATTATTTATATAATCTATCTAATATTTTATTATGAAAAATTTTATGAGATTAAATCTTTGAAATCAAATATTTTGTAGTAGATATATTCATATGAATGAGATGATAAATATAAACAAATTCTTCATCGTGTCGTCTATATCGAAGATATAATAATCGATTTATGATCGATATTTAGATCTGAAGATTCTGAATATATTTATGACATCGTGAAATTATTAAAAAGAGTTTATAATGATTCAATGATAATGATACGTAAAATCCGAGATTCTGATCTTAGCTAAAAAATTCAGAAATTATTTGGCAATATCTTCTTGCAATATTTCAATAATAAGAATCATCTTGAAATCAAATATTTATAGCGGATATATCAATCTTTCCTTATAAAATCATCTGTCAATTCATATCTTTATATCGAAAGATATAAATAGATTCTTGATCAGACCAAGCGATTTACAAGCGAATTTTTGAATCGAAGATGCTGATTTCAATTGAGAATTCATGAAGCACTTCAGGAGTCTTTTCAGCACTTCGATATCAATTCTATTTGGAATCGAAAATTCTGAAAACAACTCGAGATTTATGAAGAATTTGTAGATCAGATCCTATATGACAATAATGAAAAAATTTTGAGATCTAGATAGAATCCCTTGATAAATCAAGAATATATATCGATAGATATGAATAAATTATCGATCGCGCCATCTATATCGAAAATATGATCAGAATATAGTCGGCATTTCGATCCGAAAAATCTGAATTTATTTATGAATTCGTGAAATAATTGAAAAAAGGAATAATAAGAATCATCTTGAAGATAAATAATTTTATGAATATATCCATCTTTCCCTATGAATTCTTCTATCGATATATATCCATAAATCGAAATTTAATCAGAATCTTGGCCGGGTCAATCAGATTTCGACCGGGATAGGGATCCGAAAATTCTAGTTTTTATTAGAAATTCGTGAATTATTTAAGAATATCTTATAATATTTCAATAATAATTTAATTTCGAATCGAAGATTCCGAGATTAATTAGAGATTCATGAAGAACCTATAGAGATCTTACAATATTTCAATAATGAGATTAATTTTGAGACCAATCAAATATAACGAATATATCAGATCTTCTAATCAGAATTTCTCTTCTATATATATCGATAGAAATTCATAGATTTTTCGTCGCGCCACCTATATTGAAGATATGCTATTCGGATTATAGTCGGCATTTAGAAAACTCGAGGAATCTTATAATGATTTAATGATAGCGATATTTGGATTCGAAATTGAATAGGAATCCATATAATATTTGGGATGATCTTGCAATCTTCCAAGAATAAGAAAATCTTTGAGGACAAATATTTATAAAAAAATATCAATCTTCTTCATCTTTGAAGACGTCATCGATATCAATAATATGATAATCGACTTATAATTATTTAAGATCATTACCTAAGGCATTCAGAATAATATATTTCAACTTCTTTTTTATCTAAGATATATCAAATTAATAAATATATTAATTTATATCATCAATCTTTCTGCAAAAAAATCTCTCATCAGAATAAATCAATATATCGATAGATTCAAGAAGATATTTAAATACAGAATATAGCTATCTTGATTTTTTTTGCATAAAATATTATATGAATAATCTTGATAATAAAGAATCTATCGATAATCTCTAGAGAACATGCCATCATCTATATATATATATGCCTACGTACAGACAGGCCCATAGACAGACACACAGACAGACGCACAGACAGACCCACAGAAAGACACACAAGCAGAGGCACAGACAGACACACAAATAGTTATCCAGACAGACGCACGGCTAGACACATAGACAGAGCCACAAACAAACATATATATATAGACAGAGATACACTCACACGCACACATAGACACGCACACACACACAGAGAGACACTTGTATTTAGGCTTGTTCTTCGCTCTGCTGTGCATATAAAGCCAAAAAGACATCAAAAAGAAGCAAAATCTCCAAAGAAGTGGTTGCACAAATAAAACACAACCGAGCCCTATTATTGAGGGATATATCTCATTCTAGCTTAAAATATTCTTATTAAATCATCGAAATAATAATTCTAAAAAAAATAAACTCCTATTTCGATAAGAAAAATATTTTTTCTATTTATTTCATATCAAAATCATATTACCTCGCACGATAATTTTCAAGATTATTTCAAAATCAATCATTTTATTTCTTTTCATAAGACTTGCAGATCATAATTCTTTCGGGTTTAAGATATGTCAATATTAATATTTCGGATCCAATATCAAATTAAACGCACTATATTTCGAGATCTAGATCATTCGACAATCATATTTTCGGTTCTTAAATCATTCCAAGATCATTAAACCACCATTTCTTATCCCAATCTCCAAATTAATTTTCCGATCATGCCGTTTCCAACATAACAATGTTTTCCGGACCATCCGATCTCCGTTTCCGAGACCCGACCACCATTTCGAGGATACCCGATCACTATTTCCGGTGCGCCCGATCACTATCTACGCCGCACGGATTGTTATTTGTCGCCTCCGGATCACTTTTGCGAGTGCAATGGTTTGCTCTGTTATCACTCACTTATCTCTAAAGTATTTCTCAATGTGCACCCCAATTGCCGTCCGATGCCGGCGACACACTTCTATTCTATTGTTTGTCATATCATTACTTATATTGGAGTAATTTGTGCTTCGATGCAGTTATCGAGATACTAGAACATTTCCACGTTTCCACAGGAAATCAACTAGGAACAGGAATATCAAGACCATCAAGACCACAATCTTGAATGAACTATTTTTTCTTATATCGGTTCGCTCTGCGACACATGATTCCACTTTGTTTGCATCTTGATTTGGCCCTTCTATGAATCGCTTGCAACTTGAACCTCGCAAAACGAAGGTTTGGCTCTATGAAACGGCATGCCAATGATCTCTGGCCAAAGCAAGTGCACTATCCCGCCAACGGCGGAGAGCCTTGGCACAGGAACTCAGCAAGGCTGTCCAGCTTCGACGTTCGAGAACTCGATCTTGCAAGCCCGCTCTCTGGAACATGCCCGTCTGGTCCTCTTGTGCAAAGGCTCTGCATGGAGATGTGATGGGTCTTCGACCATCACACCTCGACGTATGTGAGCTGCTAAACCCGCACGCATTCAGACTCGAGCATGTGGTGCGAAACTTCCTTCTGCAAACCATCCCGCATGCTTGAGCCTGCACCTCATACTTATCTGCGAGGCTATGCCTGCAAGCGTGGTGTCCAGTGAGACGTGCCCACTCTCCAGTTTGCCGACACTCCGCAACACTTCCTGTATATGGTGAACATGTACATGATGAAAATCCACGAGAGTGGGCTGCAGGCCTTACGCAATCTGCTCCACAGCGAAATGCTTACAAGCAGATGCACTATGGGCTGCAACTAGCAGGCTTCAACGATCCACTTCTGTTGAAACCAATGAGGCTGCGAGCAACTAGCTGCGTGAGAAAGTAGCACGAGGAGTCAGCAGGTCCGCCAGCTACCCAAGCTCCCAAGAAGGTTTTGCTACTCGGATTCCCCTTGATTCTCTTCATTCTCTCTCTGATTGGAGCGGGTGAGGCCGCTCACTGCAAACAGCTGGGACAGTCTGCCGAGATGGTCAGCTTCTCGCCACATAGTGATTTGCACACATCGTGTGGCAAGTGAGTTGAGGCCGGCTCCAACATTGGGAGAGGTCGGTGACTGGTGAAAACTATCTGCTTTGCAGCAACTCTTTGCGGATGTGGCTGCATCTGATGCCCCTTCAGAAGCTGCTTCCCCAGAAGTGGGAATCATTACGGTAGTCCCATGCAAGTGAACGGTCAGTGAACGAGACAGGCAGGCTTTAGAGCTCTTTAAGACTTATTGCACCGTTCCGTTGCTTGCGGGGAAGGTCTGCAGTCCTGAAGTGTTGGCTGCAGCTGCTCCTTAAACACTAGCGAGTTCAGCATTGCCTACCACCTCCAGGTTCAGCAGATGAGTCTCTGGGCAGCAACTGCTTGCGTGCGCTTGAACAGGCAAGACCGCTCATGCTGAACTGTTACCTGCCGAAGTCTACGTAATCAGATGCAATGCATGCAAGGACGGGAGGCCTCGGTCTGCACCGGAGCCATTCATCCGAAGGCTCCTCAAGGTGGACTACACTATTATTATTATAACAATAATACTAGCAATACGAATAGGCATAGATCGACTAGATGAGTTGGAACATGTTGGAAGCGGATGTCGCCTCCTCTCGTGCGGGGTCCAAGAGTGATGTCATCATACTAGCATGACAGGAAAGGTTTCTCGGGGAGTCTCAGTCATGGCACATTCTGGGAAGTATCGGCAGTGTCCTCGCAGCTCAGTTGCTGCTGAACCAGATCGAAAGGCCAATGTAGATGGCCTGGGCCCCATAAGACACGGCCAATCGCTCCTAACCTGGTCCGCTAAGCCGCTAAGCAAAGTCCAGCCTCAAGACTCCTCCCAAAAGAGGTGAGCTCAACAAGTCCGAGCTCGCTGCCCATAACAGCACCAAAACGCCACCGGAGATGTACCTAGGATGCTGTGCAGTTCTGAGTTTGGCTCCCTTGCTCGACAGCTTGGCGCTGTCCTGTCGCGTGCTTTGTGCATTACCGGTGGCTTTCAGGCACGAGACAGCAGCCACATGTGCAATGGGCGCTTTTGGGCTCCAAGTGGTGTGAAAGTCCTGGGGCAGGTGCTGCGCCGGCTTGGGTCCACCCAGTTCACCGCCAAAGTAGGACCGACCTTGTCTGAAAGATGTCAAACGAGCTACTTATGACACGAATCAACGTATTACACGGTCAAGGCTTGAAGCATGACTTTCCGTGTTTTGGCAAAACCCAGCCCTCCAGAATCCAGAAAGTATGTCGAAGGTCCTAGTTGGGCCAGCTGCGTCTATGCGCTGTTCCACATCTGACTCTTCACAACGATCTCGGGCGCGTCAGCAGGCCGACGGATGCGCTGACCCCCGGTCTCCTTTCCTCTCAGAAGCCCTCCGCAAGCTCCGACTGATGATGCTATGAAGCGTACCTTCCTAGGAAGTAATTTTGTCGACCTTCCGGTGCTGTCTTGATGCGGCGTAAACCGCTAGTTGTAATGTAAAGCAGTTCGACAAAGCCGATTCCGTTATGACCTCGGCTCCAGGCGGAAGATGAGAACACCAAAGCACACCACCGCGCAGCAAGAAAAGACCTCAGCAATGCAACAGCATGAGAAGGTCCTGGCTCACGTGGATCTGTTCATGCGCTCTGTGGTACCTCACGAGGGGAGCGCAAACCCTTTCTGCCTGGCTCCAGGTGCCTGACCGCGACGCTGAAGGCCAAACCTTCAGAGCTCACCTTAAGTCGAGCGTGCAAGGGGGCTGGGAAGGTGAGATAGCTTGCCGGTGGCAACTTGGGGCGGACGTAGAATCCGCCGTTGGGATGCGTGTCCACGAGCCTCAACCGAATCCACCAGTTCTTGAAACACAGGTTCAGTTCTGCCGCCGACAACGGGCGCAGATCAAGGATGAGGCCCTGGATATGCAGCTTGCCATTCTGGAGTAGCTCCCAGATTGTTCCAGTAGATGGCACCAATCATCCACCTGGCCATGGCTGTTGAACTGTGCTTCCAGGGTGGATCTGTCAGAGAGGACCCCTTCTGGCATTGCAAGCAATGGGAACAACTAGAACAGTGAATAGTCGTCTTTAGATCTGGCGGAAAGAATGCGGTCTGATGCTTGCACTGTCCCCATGCGGGCGCACGGGAGACCGATGCCGAGGAAGACGTTCACGGAGTTACTTCCGGTGACCTCATTACCATGTATCGTCATGCGCTCAACCGGTGCTGCCAGCGAAAATCACTACAAAAACACGCGTGCTTCACAGCACAGCTTCTGGCATTTCCAATGCTGGCATCAGCATATTCATCCTGCGGCTATCACTCGGGCATCTCTCTGGGCGATTCGCACTTCTGCATGGCTCTATGTAGTGCTGCGAAAGGCAGCCTGGACGTACGACAAGCTACAGTATCAGAGGTTATCTGAGGGTTGCCATGTCCTGTCGGGCTGCCGTTCTGGATGCGAAGGTGTCTGGCCTCAAGCACCACGTGTTGACTAATATACAGACAGAAGCAAAAAGCAAGGACGAGTCGATGTGGCGCAATCTGGCGCATCTGTCCAGCTCTCCGGGTCTTGGACAGTGAAGTGCCCATGGCCACTAGTGTGATTGCGGTCTGCAGGTCGTTGATCTGAGCCATTAGGCCATTAGGCGGTCCGGGCATGTGCTCCAGCTCAGTTTGCAGCTGGATCAAAACGGGGCTCTGACATTCATCGAGCATCCCAACAGGGAGGCCAAATCTCCAATGATAATCGTGACGCAACCAATCATTACCTGCAGTGATGTGCAAAGATGTGCAAAGTCTAAAGAGCTCTGTGCTATGGCGAGAAGAACTTCAGAAAGAGCCCAGGTGTCGGACCAGTGCAATGAAGAAGCAAAGCCTGCACCGTGGGGTCACGAGCCCGATTTTAGAAATAGACAACTTGGACCTGACAGCTGACGTGCTAAGAACCTAGCCAACCACCGCAGTATTCGGTGGGCGGCACGAGGGCAAAGACAACTTTCCACGGCAGGGACATCACGTGAAGCACCTCAGCATAAATGAGTTGCACTAATCTGCCTCATACAGTAGTCTTTCACTGTTAAACCGGCAAGCCAGAACGCTTCGGTCGGTCTTTGCAGAAGCCCGGGTTGCTGACAAACTCGAACCAAGACGACTTGCTTTGCTCTTCTCGGTCACCACCGCCTGGCTGTCAGATACAGCATCTCGAGCAGTCCAGCGTGACGTTAAGCACGAACGCCCTGATGCCTTCGTTACTAGCAGATAATGCGGGGAAGTCCATGATGTAGTGGCTTTAGCACGACCCGTAATTGTGAAAGACCCCTTTCAGCCCCCAAGCCTCAGGAGCAGACCGTTTTTACCCAACCCAGCGCTCCCGACGTGCCCTAGCCTAGGGGGATGGCCGCTTGGCCATCGTAGGGGCCCGGCAGTACAATGCTTCAAGGAATTGTCCCAACCAAGCCTCAGCACGCAGGAACTCAAGGCAAGGCTTGCAGCGAGAGATGAGTCATATATAGTTATACTATATTGTCATATCGATATGCAAATGCACAGTCTGCATGTCCCTCTGAGCTGGAAGCTGTGTTGCCCAGTGCTACCTCATCCCAGTTCGGCGACAGGGACGAGACAATCTGGCAAAGTCAGGACGAGCAATGCGGCGTCAGTTAAAGTTGGAATGTGTAACGAATGTGCGGCCCCCCATTTGTTCTCGCGCGTCCTTGTCCATGAAAGGCTTGTGCGAGACGTCTGCAAGGATCCACACCTCAACCCAGATTCGGCAGCTCTCAATTTCAAGAACCTCGCATTGGAGGCATACAAAAATTGTGGCTGTAGCTGGTTTACCGACAAGTTTGCCTTTGGTGCCTTTACCAACACAGCTTCAATGCCAGCAAATCCGAAAAGAGCGTTCAAGTTGTGGCCATCTCAGCTTCCCGCAGTGCACACGCAGGACTCACTGCCGCCATCGCTGCTTACATCAAAGCGAAGTCCTGCAGGACAGCCACGTGGCGGACGGTGGGTGGTCTACGGTGCAGCCTACGAGTTTCCCCCACGAGATCAACATTGAGGCACACAATTCGAATCAAAGACAGGTGCCACGTCTCCATGGCGAGTGTCCCACCTCCAGACGGCTCTTCCAAGATGACCCTGAACCTCAGCAGTGGATTCTGCAGCAGCACATACTCTATTTTAGCCGTTTGAAAATTTGGAAGGCTTACAATGCCATAAGTAATGAAAGAGTATAGGCCCGATCCTGCAATGCAAGTTCTCAAGTCAACACAGCTGCAACCCGAAGGAATCATGCGCTGGCATCACAGACAGCCTGAACTTGAACGGTCCAGGTCTGCATCGCGCTGACTGCAGAGCCGAAAAATGTAACACTCAAGATGAAGCGAAGGCTCAAACCTGCCGAGACTGTATGACCCGGGGCCCGAAGAAACTGGATGTCAATGATCCACTATCTCCCAGTTGCAGAACTTTTGCACTCTCAAGGTCAAGCCTGGCTTAGGACCTTAGGAACGATTTGCAGCAACTACTTGCTGATCACGGTATTACATGCAAGGTGGGGCCTCAACAGAATGTTGCCAGCCAGGAGATCTGCTTGCAGAACCGCCAGAAGCTTTTTGCTAGACTGGCGTGGCTCCGAGGTCGGAAAAGGCCGGTGCTGCGCGAACTCTAGTTCTGCTCGTCTGGCCATGGGTTTTGTAATTTCTCGGAGCCCGACTTCTCCGTCGACTCGTAGCGGCCCTTTGGCATGATGTCGACCTGGCCACAAAGACTTCATCTTTGTACTTTGGGCCATCCAAGAGGCTACACACGGGTACCTGATTTGCGTGACATGAACTAAATGAAGGCAGACAGGCTCTTGCAAGACAGGTCAGGTTGTCGTAAAGGGAAGCTTCCATCTGTCCTGTGCATGTCATTTCGAAGCTCGAGTGCAGTACTTCAGTAGTCGGAACCTCTTGTAAACAAGCAACTGCATTGCGCAAGTTGGTAAAGCGCACAAGCTTTTGATGCAGCTCTTCTTGAAGAGCTGCAACTTCAGGTAAAGACGCGATGACGAAGTGGCAAATTCAATGCAGCTAAGAGGGTATTCCTTCCATTATCTCTCAGCTAGTGGCCAGCAGCGCCTGGCTTCAGCTCCAGCTCGCCCTCCAGCTTTGTGTAGTCCGGCCCTGCTTTCGCCTTGAGATTCATAGCATTCTGAAGCGCATGGTACAAGCTATAGGCTATGCTGACCTCAACTTGGCTATCATGATCACGAGCAGCAGTGTGTGGACCACATAGGCAGCCGGCAGATGCATCTTCGGTTCTGTATTTGCACGTAACGGTTCCTGCCAGGAAATGACAAGGAGTGAACTCCGGAAGGCTTGTCGGGCCAAAACTTATCATCAGCAAAAAATTGCGGTGCTGGGAGAACTGAGGCTCCCTGACTGCATCTAGCTTTCGCAGTACATGGTGTCCTGAGGCACCCATTTTGCGTCGGATCTTGATCTCCACTTGTTGCGTCTGTGGGCTCTCCTGGCAAGTTCGAGGCTATGCAACGACATCTTCGGCAGCCTTTGCCAAGCAACCACAGCTTGCTTCGCGTGCACAGGGTCCTCCACCTTGATCTCCTCGGCAACAAAACCAATAATTCCCGGCAGGTCATCATCGACGATAACCTGGCGGAAAGCACGGAGCTTCATCCTGAACCTGTGCTGAGAGTAAAAACGACAGGCCATAGCGCCAAGAGGTGGGAGCGAGACAAATTGCACTGGCACTGAGCCACGCAAATCCAATTTGCCGGGGTGACCACAGTCGCTTCCTTCTTCTCTCCGATGTGGGCTTCAACACTTCCGGTGGCTACAGCAGAGCAAATCTCCATGTAGAACTCCTGCACAGAGACCGTCAGGCAGCGAAATGGGAAGCAAGACAATTAAATTGTGTGGCTCTACCTAGCCGTTGCCGGCAGTGCAAGTGCCTCGATAAACCAGCATGAATGTAGGATGGACGGCGCCCCTTAACCCTGAGCGTGATCGTTGGGCAATGGGTCCCTGCTCGGCCAACAAACTACCGTCACACTAGTTGTCTAGCTCGAGTCTTCAACCGGCCTGGTGGCAAGTGCAAATTACAAATCTTGGACGGAAGTGCCATGAGAGGAGACACTCCGTGACTAATAGTACGTCCGCGTCGAACCCTCTCAGCTCTCTCTCAAAATAGCCTAGCACGCTGCAGGAGCAAGGTGCAACATTCGAGAATCTGGACTTTCCAGGAGTCCTCTGCGTTATGCGGGCTTCTACTAATCCACGGCCAGAGAAATCGAGAGCACCCCGAACACCGGACAAAAAGAATCGCTGCTAGAACCCTCCGGGCACCGAAGGCCCCCGAGAGGCATCCTGATCATCTTCGTAGTCATCGTCATCAATGATTTCAACTTCGACCACCTGACAGGGCGTAAAGTGCTTGAAATTGCCCAACTGGCTGGTCCAAGACCAACATGTCTGGACGAGTGCATCGGGTCTGCAGTCAGCTTTTCCGTCTTCAGGCTAGAAACCAGCACAGCGCAGGTTCGCGATTCAACCTGTCAAGTCAACTGTTTGTCGACGACCTGCGAGCTGGTAGGTTGGAACCAAGATACTGCACGCCATGAGCCCGAAATGTGAAGCTCAACCTGGCACATGAACTCTTGTGTGGCTGCAATGCACCAAGACACCGCATGACCAACCTGACTTGAGGGATGTGGCCCCAAGACACGCGTGTTTGGTCCTGCAGCCACGCAGCCAGGATGTAGGATCTTTTCCGGATCTCCATCAAGCAGGATTTGGAAGCTCACCAATCCCCCGGCAGCGACAGGAATTTCAGCTGCCCAGACATGTTCTCGACCGGATGTGCCTTGCCGCATCATCTGAACCGAAGCCTGCCAGCCATTCCAGGAACCCAGGAGCTCATAGCCCTTCTGCGCATCAGCGTGTGCAGGTAAAGGAACGTTCCCCGATGGCCAGAATGGCAAAGCTTGAGTTGCGGGAGAGAAGGCTTCTCTCTGTTTGGGCTGGCGTTGCGTCACCGAGGCTAGCACCAAGCCCATCGTCCCGGCGATGCTGTGGCCCTTTACGCCGATGACTGAATCTCGACTCCTGGACTTCACCAGCTCCGTTGGCACTTGGCACAAGAAGTCATCGAACTCGCATGTTGAGCAGAGGATTGGATTCAGTGTGTACAAGTGCTGGTTGGGCGCAACATGGCATCCGGTGTTCGTGCTCATGAGGATGCGAAGGAGGGCGCACATTCCAGCAGCCTCGAGGCAGTGGGCCTGGCTAGATTTGCAGGACGTTAGAGTCAATGGGCGAATCTGCGAGTCATTGACGTCAGACGGGCACAAAACATCAGAGATAGCTGCCGTCTCTATTGCATCGCACAGTTGCCGTCCTTCTGCGTTGCAGTCGATGGCGTCTATCGAAAGCGGATCCAGCTGAGCACGTCGCAAAGTCTCCGAAACTAGCAGCTGCTCTGCAGGGCCACTCGGGGCGTCCAGGAGACCAGCAATGGGCTGGTGTTTTGAGCATGCACTGCGCAAGGCTCCCAAAAAGTTCTCGTCTGATCCGTCACTCTTGTGGAGGACCTCTTGAACCACACAGCCACAGCCTTCTCCGCGAACATAACCTGTGGCCTCATGGGCGAAAGCCTTGCAGCGTCCATGGAGGCCTCCATGCCACATGACGCCCTGTTGCGACAGGTGTACCCAAGTTGATGGAACAAGCATCGTGGAGACGCCCATGGACAATGCGCGTACATTGTCGGACTTCTGTGGGTCCAAAGACACGAAGCCACGCTCTAGTGTCAGAAGGGACGATGCACCCTCACAAATCACAGTCAACGAAGGTCCCATAAGTCCCAAATTGAAGGAAATGCGATTCGAGTGAATTGCTGTGCTACCGCCAGTGCATGAGTACATGTCAGCAGCAGGATCTCGAGCGCAGTTTGGGGTGCCAGGCCATTCATGCATGCCTGCACCGACGTAAACTCCAGAGACTGATCTGGAAAGCATCTCTCGGGTCAGGCCCATATTGAAGAAAGCTTCCTCTGCACATTCCAGAGCCATCCTCTGCTGTGGATCCATGGATATGACTTCCGCAGCCGAGATCTGGAATCGCTTGTTGTCAAAAAGCTCTGCCCCATCCATGAAGGCGCCGTGCTTGCAGAGGGCCTTGTCGCTCTCACTTCCATCTTCTGAAAAGTGGTTCGCATGATCCCATCTTGCGAGCGGAACCTCAACACAAAAGTCAGCTCCGGCAAGGTGTGGAGGCCAGAACTGTCGCACCTGATGTGTAGTGGCGAACTTGCAGGATGCAGCTCGAACGATGATTTGGTGTGACGATTCAGCTGGCATGTGGGCAGACAAAGACTGCCAGGCTGGCAGGAAGTCTTTCACTGGTTGTATGGCCTGCTCCGTTTCAGCTTCAATTGCAATATACCCTGTGACTGGCTGGCCGTCAACAGCTTGGCCTGACTGAGTCTTTAACCAGAGGCTGCCATCAACTGACTCCACGGCCCCAAGAACAACCTCGCCCTTGGAGAACACCTCCAAGCGAGCAGCTCCAGAGGTAGGGGTGCGCGGGGCCTTCAACTTATACACATATGGAACCATGACTCGCCACTCCGAAGCTTCAGATTCCCTGTTCCGATGGTTTTGGCTTTCCTTGCGCTGCTCGAGACGCTTGTTCAGCCAGGCTCTTAGCTGCAGGAGGCCCGGTGCCTGGCTGCCATGTGACTTGTTCAGAACTGACCAATCCACTTCTGGCTTGCGTCCAAACATCCAGGATATCACGAAGTCGCCTGCATCGCCCGCGAGAGTCTGCCACACCAAGTTGGATCGAACAAGCAACACCCTGCCAGAATGCAGCGTTATCCGGTGTGGCTTTGATGGGAACTCTGTACTGACAAGTTTAGTAGGCGGCTTCTCGTCCTCGGACTCTTCCTGCTTCTCCGAATCCACAGTGTCCGCCGCATCAACATTAACAGCCTCTTCATCCACAACTTCAACCACGGCAAGTTCATTACTGAGACATTGGAGCTCAACCTCCGCTGGGGCAGGACCCAATGCAACAATCGCTGTCAAAGTCCGGGCCATAAGACGCGGAAGCCATTTCTCTACGTCAGACTCCTGCAAGGGTGGAGCAGACCGACGGTCCCAAGTGCCTGTTTCATGCAGGATGCAGCCCAAGTGGTTCAGCCTGTCAACGGAAGCCACTGCAGTCTCCACTTTCCTGCTGAGTCCTCTCAAGCTCTCCAGGCGCACGCGACGGCTTGGCGGCCCATCAAATGGGATCTCACAACAGCGTGCTGACCCTCGCCTGCCCAGGAATGAGTCCAAAAGCTCTTCTGGGGGACTGCGCAAGTGACGGCGCAGGGACCCGGCGTCTCTCTGACAACTCTCGAGACTTTGCACATCCAGCTCCAAATCGAGAACAGCGAACCCCTGCAGGGCCAGGTCTTGTTCAGGGTGATGCTCCCTCTTTAGGTGCTCGATACCAGCATCCATCGCATGGGCACAGCACCTACATTTGACTTACATCGTCCTCATGCTGAAATTGCTGACTCATGTCAAGCTAGGACTGTCAACCGTGTTCAACCTGAGACGAACCATCTGTCGAAGGCTTCAGGCTCGAAGCATTTGATATCCTAGCGAGTATAGCTGGGTCGCAGTCCCCTGAGCCGCAAAAAAGCATCAAGTCCTGCGTCCGGTCCTGCATTGCTCAAAACAGAACATGCCCTGTCTAGAGGCCATAGACAAGCAACACAGCCAGTGAAATTCGGCTGAAACTATTAATTCTTGAAGTGTCTGCCTTTTCAGTGTCCCCCTCTTCGAAAAGGACGTTGCCCTCCTCGCACACAACTGTGAGATAGAGATTGTGAAGTGACATACAATCCGCCGTGATTGACGCATGCGATCTCCCATGCAAGCACAGCACACGTGAACGGCGGGTGACATGTGGAAAGACAGCTTGCCCAACTCGCTGACATCTTTGATTTGTGTCATTGGCAGAACCTGCATCTTGAAGTCTTTCCCAGCTTTGGCGCTGCCACAACGGGTGCGCCAGAGTACCTCCACATGCACCATTGCCCGCGATCATGCTGGGAGGACATCCGTCCCACTGAACTTGCATGCCACCCGGACGACTTCGGCAGCAAGCACAGGGCACTGTTACAGGAACTGAGCAATCGCCCGTGCGGGCTAAACCAAACTTGGCCGTACCGACGCTCTCAAGAACCTTGCACGAAGGCAGCAAGCGGAGGCTGCAAACTAGCTGCCGGGCTAGCCATACAGGGCCCAAAGTTACTTGCTCGCCACAGAAACTCCCGGATGCCGCTCGCAAGCTACATGGGGAGGACACTAGGTTCGGCTGAGCTCCGTGCAGAATATTGTGACGACACGAACTCGACGGTAGCACCAGATGCCTTTCAACATTGCGTTTGGATTCTCGTGAGCATGGAATACAGAAACACCAGCAGCGTCGCCGAGGCCGGAGCAGCAGTGCGAGCCGGCTTGTTGTCGTTGGTCATTCTGGTCAGGGTTCTTGTTGCTTCCTTAGGACTCCATGTTGTTTGCAACAGGCAGAAGATCATGCTGATGGCCCCAGCGGCAATCAGCAACTGAGAGGGTTTGCAGCAAACTTTGGGCAGAATGGTAAGGAAGTGTCCAGTTGCTCTCGGAACTTGTCGTTGATACCCAACACCTGCACGACAGGTGTCAAAGATCAACTCAACATATCTCAAGCTGCTGTGCATGTGTGACGACCTGAAGCGTTGCCAAAATGCAACAGAAGGTAACTGCACTGAAGTCGGCCCGCCTTTTTCCCTGCAGAGATATCCCTCACGGCTGCAACGCGGTACCTGGCATTTCGGAGCTTGTGAAGCCGCGTAAATGGCCATCACAGAGCCTTTGCAGAGTGCAAGCACCGCGGCACCAAACGACCGATCAGTCTGAGGTCATCTGTCTTTTCAAGGTGCCTCGTACTCCTCTTGCAAGGTTTGGGTTACGTTGGGATGCCGTTGCACTACATCCCAGAATTGCCACCCCGGTGGCCGTTGTTTCCAGATGCAAGCACGTGCAAGCACATGAGCCCAGAACGACAGTGGGCTTGACAGCCTTGCTCTGAAGCCCTGTCTTCAGCCCGATGAACCAAACCCGGGGCGGACTGTGCTCGGCTCCGACGCTTGTGGCTCTCGTAGTGCAAAGCAGCCAGGATCTGCAGAGACACCCAATGCCAGCACGCAAGCTACTGCGATCTCAACGCACTTTAGGCTTAAGGGCCCTCGATACTTCGCAACTGCACCCTGGCATTCGCAGGAAATGCCGGAATACCCATACATGCCCGTAGAAGCTTTTGCCGATTGCGCAAGCCGATGCATTTAGTCAGAAAAGCACGTGCCTGCTCCTGGCTCAAGTTATCTCAGCATCCAGGGAGCATACAGCACAATTCACATGATGCAGACGACACATCAATGCAGGCACCCGGTTAATAGCTGGGGGCGAGACCACCGAAATCTCGTCGCACTTGCATCATGAGTTCTGCCAGCTGTTCCGGCGTGGCCTCCGCCGAAGTCCGATGGTTTAAATTTTAATTTTAAACCTACCGCACTGCACACACATGGCAATTTCTGACGACCTTGCGGTCTCGCAACCTGGTGACTAAGGATGAAGGAAAGCGGTCACGGTGTCTTGCAAGCGACAGCGTAGCATCGCAAGCCACAGCGGGCACGGGGTCTTATGAGATCAAGAGTCTCGAGCTTTATCCTCGAAGCGGTTATCGTTTTACGGCCTTGGGGCCTTGGATGTCCTCGGGATTCTTCTTAGTTCGCGCGCGCATACTTCACATAAAGTAGCTCCGCAGGGCGAACGACACTCAGACTCGACAAGGGAAAGTGGGCTTCGGGATGCCCAAAGCCACGATTCTTTTGTGCTTGTCAGAAGACATACTTCGGCCGCAACTTGTGCAGAGGCGCACCTAGAAATAATGTCGATGCTGCTGCATACCAGGGACCCGATTTTGGAGTTCAGCAAATTCGAGCTCCGATCGAGCTCTTTGACAGGCTCCTTTTCAAGCGCTCTTGCGACGACGATAGCATACTGGGTCTTGCCGAGCGAACTCGACTCCTGGCTTTTTCGCAACTTTGCTGTTGGAAATCTCAGCCGGGGGGGCTGACTGCCTGTACTTTCAGCGTCGGCTGCGTGGAGGCCTAGCGAAGCCTCATTACCAGAAGACATCACGGTCGAGCTTGCTGTGAGGCTGTCTCTGGGAGAATTTGTTGCCGAAGCTGCTAAGCGTCAGCATCCCAGTCATTTAACTAAGATCTTGCCGCAGCCTCTCGCTCAGGCTTTTCAAAAGCACTTCGAGACGAGCAGAGACGGGTTGGGCCAGCACTGCACCGAAATCATCCGAAAGTAGGTTGCCCAGTGCATGGCCTTTTGCATCGAGAGAAACAACTGAAAGCCGACTTGTCCGTCCTCATGCTCAATTAGGTGGCGAAAAAATTTAGGCGACTGGTTGGCACCACTTGGAGTGCTATCGTTTGCATCGCAGACAAGAAACATGCACATGCTGCATGGTGGCTTCGCAGCACTTTCCAAGAACATACTTACTCGAACCCCCGTGTTGACCCCTCAGTTTCGGGTTTGCAGGTCCTCACTGGAAGCGAACTGGCGGACCGGTTGACTGAAGCACGTGTCCTGCCTCAGACCAAACGATGTGACTCGAGGGCTTGCGGGTCTTGCCGAACATGCCGATGTCCGCCATGTACCTGAAAATAAGTAGTAAGTCATGAGGGACTAGGAATTGGAGTAGTAGTAGTCGCCGTCGTCGTGGTGGTGGCGGTAGCCGTCGCGATAGAATCCGATAGAAGTAGCCGTAGCGGTAGTGGCAGTGCCAGTGGTAGTGGTAGGCGTCGTCGCAGTAGCAACAGCAGGAGTAGCAGTACAACGACATCGTCCTGGTGGCGGCGGCGGCGGTGGTGGTGGTGGTGGGGGTGGCGGTGGCGATGGCGGCGGTGGTGGGGGCAGCGGTAGCGGTAGCGATGCGGTAGCCGTGGCGGCAGTGGTAGGCAGCGACAGTAGTAGTCGCCGTCGTCGCAGCAGCAACAGCAGCAGAAGTAGCAGTCGTCGCAGTGATTGGTCGTCGTCGTCACCGCGGTAACAGTAGTGGTATTGGTGGTGGCAGTAGTAGCTGAGGCGCTCCTCTTTGACCCCATGACTTTGGCAGTTTTCCATTTCGGAGGGTTGGGTGCCAGGGCTTGGTGGGGTGGGGTGGAGAGGCCAATTATGTTCGTGGGTCACCTCCAAAGGCTGCAAAGGCCAAGCCTTGATGCCCCGAAGCCTCAAAGTCTGAGAGCCTCCAAAGCCCACGAAGCCCCGGCCAAAACGAAAACAGGACCGCGGCAGGAGCAAGAATGCCACCCAAGAACAACGCACGGCACTGCGGCTGGAGGGCGACTCGTTCGGCTTACGGGCGCTGGAGTAGTGGGTTTCTCGATGAATACAGGTCGCGTGGCTTTGACGTCACCCTCGTGTCACATATCATCACCATCCCCGGGCTCCTTGTCTTCGTTTGCAACATCCTGACTATCACTACGAGCATGACCATCATCACCATAATCTTCATCATCTCCTGACCGACGTCATCACCATGACAGTCCTCACTAAATCATCATCAGCACCGTAACAAGTTCAACGGTTTCGGAATTTTGATGATGCAGTTTCGCAGCAAAGCCACAACCACACAATGCGGCCCCAGGCCCAAAGTAGCCCTGATCAAAAAAGGGCACGACGCATATTAGTAGCAGCGGTGGTGGTAGTAGTAGTAGTAGTAGTCGTCGTCGTCGTCGTAGTAGTAGTAGTAGTATGAGGAGGAGGAGGAGGAGGAGGTTCTGCTGTAATAGTAGCCGTAGCAGCAGCAGCAGCAGCAGCAGTAGCTGTTGTTGTTGCTGCTGTTGTTGTTGGTCTTGCTACTGATACTATTCTTGCTGTTGCTAGTGCTGAAGACAAGAAACTGCGACTGTATTGTTCAGTTCATCTTGAACACCGTTGCAACTGTTGCTGTTGCTATTGCTGTCTTGTCCTTGAGGTTGCTGTTCGTGGTGGACTGCTGTTCCACGTGCAGTTTCATTTGCAGTTGCAGTTGCTATTTTGTGTTCTGGTGCAGCTGGAATTCCTGTGATGTCGTGGTTGTGGTTGCTGGCCTTGCTGTTACGATTGTGTTTTGCTGCTGTTGTTGCAGCCGCTGTTGCGCTTGATGTTGTTGTTGTTGCTGCTGTTGTTTGGTGGTGGTCTTGGCTGTTGTTACTGATGCTTTTGCTAGTTGGTGTTGTTTGTTGTAGTTCCTTGCTGTTTGTTGTTGCTTGCTGCTGTCCGAAGTTGGCTGTTGTTATGTGGTGTTGATTGTTGCTGGTTGCTGGTGTTTGCTGCTGTTTGTTGCTGCATGCTGCTGGTGCTCGCTGCTGGTGCTTGTTGTTGCTGTTTGTTGAAGGTGATTGTTGTTGCTGTTGCTGCACCTGGTGTTGGTGTTGTTGCTGTTGTCCGCACATGCATGGGCTCTGGGATGCTACAGTACAGTGTTGTTGTTGCTGCTGCTGCGGCGGCTGCTGTTGCCACACTGCAGCTGCTGCTGTTGCTGTTGGGCTGCTGCTGCTGCTGCTGCTGTTGGTGTTCCCGTTGTTGGTTTTTGGTACTGTTCTTATTGCTGTTGGTAGTTTTGTTTTTGTTCTTGATACTGTAGTACTTGCTGTCAATATTGTTCTTCTTATTGTCATTGTTACTGTTCTTGGCATTGTGTTTGCTCTTGCTGTTGCTGGTGCAGGTGCTGGTACTAGTCCTGTTGCTGGTGCGTTTGTTGTTGCTGATGCAGGGGTGCAGGTGCAGGTGCTGGTACTGGTGCTGTTGCTGTTGCTGGTGCAGGAGTTGAGGTGCAGGTGAAGGTGCAGGTGTTGGTGCCGGTGCCGGTGCCGGTGCTGCTGCTGTTGCAAGTGCTGGTGCTGGTGCTGGTGTTGGTGGTGTTGGTAGTGTTGGTGGTGTTGGTGGTGTTGGTGGTGTTGGTGGTGTTGGTGGTGTTGGTGGTGTTGGTGGCGTTGGTCTTGTTGGTCTTGTTGGTCTTGTTGGTCCGGTTGGTCTGGTTGGTCTTGTTGGTCTTGTTGGTCTTGTTGGTCCGGTTGGTCCGGTTGGTCTTGTTGGTCTTGATCTTGTTCTTGTTATTGTTTTTGTTTGTGATTCGCTGTTGGAAATGCGTTGATTCTTTGATTGTTGGCTGGCTTTTAATTATTCACTGTTGTGTATTGTGTCATGTTTGTTTGGTGCGGCTCGTTGCTTGTTGTTCGTTGTTGGTGTTTTTGCTGTTTGTTGTTGGCTTTGCTTGCTGCTCTGGCTGTTGCTGTGGTTGGTGATGGCGTTTCTTGTCTTGATCGATGCTCGTGATGGCGGGAAGCACTAGTCTCGAGTACTGACTACGTACTACTTGCTACTTACAGCCTACAACTTGCTACTTCTACGGACGTCGCATAAATTACTGCCTACTAAGGCCTAGAACCACTTACTTTTTGCTACTACTACTACTAAACCCATGAGGCGGGAGCACCACTACTAAACCCATGAGGCGGGAGCACCACTGGCACCCCAGAACATGCACCACACTGCGTCTCGAGCACGACTTTGAAGCGGAAACACGAGTCGCAGCCAAAATGTGCAAGGCACTGTGGCCGGAACACGATTTCGTCAGGCAGACAATGCGCACCCAAAAGCATGTACTATGCACACCGCAGTTTGGAATTTCGCCACAACGTGAAGCACGGAGACCGCACCAAGGAGTCTCGAGAAAGGCGGCGAATAGTGTCGCCCTGCTGGACTTTATGAAAGGGCTTCCTTCGAACGATGCACAGTTACCACTCAAACAATGCTATCTGAGGCGAAGATGGGAACCGCGGCTGCGCGCGCGGTTACCAAATCTTCTCTACACTGACCCTGGGAAGCGAGTTATCTGTTTGTTCTGACCAAAGTGTACACGCATACAACACACGCATTTTCCAAAATATGTAGGCGTGCAGGTATGTATGTATGTATGTATGTGTGCATGTAGGCAGGTACGTACGTACTTATGTACGTACGTACGTACGTACGTGGGCATGTACGCATGTATGCATGTATGTGCGTATGCATGTGTGTGTGTATGTATATTTGTGTATCTACGCAACACAGGTATGTACATGCCGATGCTGTCGAGTGCTTAGCTTGCAGATTGAATCAGAAGCTGAGCTACACAAACTGGGGCGACCTCTGCTCTGAGGGAGGGACGACAAAATCACCAATAGAGGAAAGAAGAGAAACGTAACGACCCCTTCCCAGGGATCAACCATGTCCTGCAAGCAGACTTGCGTGGCTTGCAACCGCGTCTTGTCGGTGAGAAGATGTGGCATGTCTCTCATCAGTCAGTGAATGGCCGGGCTTACCAATCACTGAGGCGTGATGCGACGACCGAAACTCTTCTTGATTCGTCGTGCCTGTGAGAATACCAGAAGGATGATGAGGAGCCACCTGCAGCCAGAAATCCATCAAAACACCCTGGACGGCCTTAACTTTTCGCTCTGAAGATGGTGATAACAGAGAGGCCGGCAGTACTTTCTGTCGCAGTGAGCTGTTCTGAAGGCTTCTTCGATATGCCCTGACCCTGAGCCCCTGACAAATACGCAAACACGGAGAACGTTCCGGTGATGGCGAACACTTTCCGGTCCTGCAACCGTCAAAAGAGACCGAGCATCGTTCATGTTTGTGTGGTGCGTATCTTCCGCGTTTGTAAGAAGACAATCTTCCACGGCATTGTGCAACTTCTCCAAACAACACAAGCGAGGTGCCTTGATAATCTTGATCTCGCCATCTGGGAGAGCTGCGATGCAGACCTGCGCAGTTCTAGATCGCAGACTGCTTCCTTGATCCGAAGAGAGCATCGGTTGCGAGGTATGCGGCAGTCAAGGGACGAACTTGTGAGCAACAGATAGGTTATACCTACACCAGCCGAGGTACAGCAGTAATGCCGAGGAGGTTGAAAGCGGCGCTGCCAACCTCGGGAACATCGGCTGGGGAACGACGCAACACCAACGATGGATGACAGCGAGAGGCTGAAAACCATCTGCCGCAGGTGAAGCACAACCAGACCAAGGCTGCAGCAATTGTAGACGCACCCAAGGAACCGGAGTAGAAGTTCGCACCTTCATCATGAAGTTCACTGAAAGACAAGCATCATCCGAAAAAGTTCTTGCACCTCGACATTTCCTATATCCTAACTTAGCCATGAGTAAACATATACACACACCGCTATATATTCTTTTTCTTATGCATATACATATACATACGTGTATATAGACGTATGGCAGCAATCCCCTCACTCCCCGGACGTGCTTCTGCATCTCTTCCTTGGCTACAGCGTTCGTGCTTGCCTCACACTCGCTGTCCCGGCTCACAAAAAGTAAGTAGGCACATAGGTCGGCAAGTGGCTGTGCCTATGTAGGTACGCATGGCATGAATGCATTGAACACGTGCACAGGCAGTGGTTTTGCATTGACTGAACTATACATCGCTACACATGCGAGTGTACGGGCAATTGGTTTTCGATTTTCAACATCAACATTTGTGACGTCAAAACCTCCCGGACACAGCAGATGGGGATGCCTGCCAGCTCGATGATGCTTAACCTCAGAAGCCACGGCAGCAGGGGGTGCTGGGTTCAATACTTGCTAGGAAACCAGCATTACTTGAAAGTTCATGGGCACATGTGAAATGCTGAGAGAACATGAGAAACCCTCAGGGCACCACAGGATTTCCGGAGCACTGGAACCCAAAGCCATGAGCGTCAAATTGGCCACCGTGTCATTCCACACCTACGAGACAATACAACATGGCTTCACGAAGCAATCTTCACATTGGAGGACTGAAAGAACAAACTCGCGTGCCTTCACGGTGGTCTTTTTGCCAGTCTCTTTGTTCGTGACCTGTTTCTTCACTGATGTGACTTTCTCGATGGAGGCCATGAACACCTTCAGAATTTCACAAGCAGTTCCTCTGCCTCTCTTCTGTTCATGTCCCTTTTGCTGGCTCTGGTCCGAGGGTCTTTGGACTAGTCCACGCCACTGTTATCGTTGGGCGGGAAACAGAGAAGCGTGGCAACGCACGAGGCGCTTCACCCCTGGAATGACATAACTGCAATATGTCTTTGTTAGTTGGCTTCGTTATTTCTCTTCGGATGATCGTGCGGCTGAAATGCGTGGGGCGGGTGTTCGGCCAGCACACTCGAAACAAAGCTAGCAACTTCATGAGCACTGCAAATCTAGATGTGAAGTAGTTGCTAAGGCTCGCGGATGGCACCCAAACCAACCATGCCAAAGCTAGCCGGTCGAAGGGCGATGCAGCAATGTGGCATGCTCCGAAATCATGTCAGCATGCACAACGGAAGATGCTTTGAATTTCTCTCTGCCTTGTAAACTATGAACGAGTATCCTGGTTGCCAAATGCAGACGACACCGTACTTGTCATGGTTTCTGGCTTGCAACGGTTGCCAAATCGAGTTTATGCTGTACTGCAGCTTGGGCACGTCAGCAATGATGGCCACTCCCAGAAAACAGTAGAGCAGGCCAAGCAAATAAAGCACCACCTCAGTCCACCATGAGAGGACGAACAGCAGTCTCTGCGAGGGCGTGAGCAGCTCTTTCCAACTCAAACCTGCGTCTTCTGAGTCTGCGGGAACCCTTGCAACCGCACAAGCAAACAAGCTCGCCCCTACACATCTAGGAGATGGAAGCCATTAAAAGCAGATAGAAGCAGCAACCTTTCCACTGTAGCTTCGAAGGCTTGGCAGGGATGTGATGTATTCAAGACGACTGTGCTGCTTGACTTCTGTTGCTGAAGCTCCTACGCATCGAGCGTGAAGTACCGGCATCATTCCGAGACATCGGAGTGGTTGTTGGCAAAGCTGTTTGAAGTTCCGACAGCAACAGCCAGACTAACCATGTTGCACACTATTGTCAGACTACCAGGAGGGACATTCATGCATGATGCTCAACATCGAACATGCCAGTGACATTGCAGTCGTAATCGCTCTAAGCATCAGATTCAGTCCAGCTCTGAAACGGATTCACGAAACTGACGAAAGGCGCAACAAAAACGAAAACAAGCAGGGCCGGACTGATAAATTGAATCATGAAAGCACTACTGATGTTCGGAGTTGCGTGGTGGTGGTAGTTGGAATGGTGCTACCAGTAAGAACAGCATAGTCGTAGCTGTTGTCGTAGTGCTGGTAGTCGTATTAGCAGTAGTAGTCGTCGTAGTAGTAGTAGTAGTAGTAGTAGTGGTAGTGGTAGTGGTAGTAGGTAGTAGGTAGTAGGTAGTAGGTAGTAGGTAGTAGGTAGTAGGTAGTAGGTAGTAGGTAGTAG